CATGTACATATTCTTTTGGTGATTAATTTAGTTATCGTTCACATTTGAGATGAAAGAAATATGTGTTACACTGTACCTTAACTTTTCTAATTGTATACACTCCATAGTATCTGTAGAAAATGTATGCGCAGGATTTATTTTCTTTAAAATGCAACACTGCACATTATTGACTGCTCATCCATTTAAATTCAGTTCTTATTTCAACTTTCATTGTTTATCTCAAAGTATGCCTTTTTGAATTTTTGAGAGGGTTGGATGGGGTCTAGATAACCAGTGATCCTTTGGTTTGTTTAATGATCTTTCTATTTTTTATGTCCAATAGAAGTGAAGGTGTGGATCGGAGCGTTTAACGGGATAGAGTCAGTACTTCTCTTAAGTATTACATGTACTTTTACGGTATCCTTTGCTGTCAAATGCCGGAGGTGAGTACTAAGTTTTGTGTGCTCGATAGCCTTTGCTAGAACCCGTTTTTCGTTGTCAAATTTGTTAATAAGCAGATCATATCTCGAGTGACATCTTTAAGGTGTTTATTGCTTGCCTTAATATTTTAACCATACTTTTACAACTCAAAACAATTCACATGGGTGTCTGCGGGGGGGGGGGGGGGGGGGGGGAAAAGGGGGGTCAATGGGGTCACTTGACCCTCCCCTCCCCCGGAATTTTGGAACTGCATGTTTATTGCGGGTACCCAGCCAAACATTATCTCCCACTTCAATGACTTTGACTCCCCCGCTCCCGGGGGGGTAAAAGGCAAAAAGGTCGAAAATGAACATTGTTTTATGCGCTGATTGTAAACATGCAATATAACACTTTCATGCAACACAGTTTAAAAAGACTATGCCAGACATACTATATGTGTTTTTTTCAGAGGAAAAAATAAGAATGGGCATATCCAAAAATTGAAACATGGCCTTCAGTTGGGGGCCAACTCAAGAGTTTGATGGCAATGGTGCTGCCTGTGCTCTGCAACAATTATCGGAGAATGCGCGGCGAATGAATACGAAAATATACGAACTTGGCAAATGAAACAGTAGTATCAGGCCTACCCAACTACCAGACTCGGCACCGAATGATCCTGAATTCACCGGTAGCTCGGACCACAATTCCCGTTTTCAAGGCGTGTATCAGTACGCTTTTCGAAGTATCAGACGCGACACCGCTATCGCCTAGTACGCGGTGTGATAGTGATGATTTTCAGCGGGGTTGGAAAGTAGTGTATCTCATCTGAAAATTTGTTCCGGGGTATAATACTGTGAAATGCGTTCTGACGCACACCTTGAAAACGGGCATTGTGGTCCGATGTGCCGATGAATTCGGGATCATTCGGTGCCGAGTCTGGTAGTTGGGTAGGTCCGAGTATAGTAGTTATAACCGAAGTTATTGAGGATACGCTGATTGACGTTTTAAAATACATGCATGTTTCAAGTTGGCAACAGCCGTAGATTATCATGTAAACTTCAGATAGTTGAATATGATATTTCAAATTTCATATTGTGAAGTTTTTTTCTACTTTCAAGTATACTAATCACTTCTTGCTAAGCTTTTCTAAAGCCAACTTGTACTTGTTTGTCATTTTAACAGATAAATACCATGAATCAATGTCATCCATCTAAATTAGATTTTAAGTGATCACCACTAGCGCTTCTGGCCACTAGAGGTCCCCAGATATGGATGGCTCTGACTATGTCTGTACACTTGTTCCTACCGTCAGCGATTTTTTTGCATAAAAGCAATGACATTACTTAGCTGGTCTCTTCTATACTGTCTACCACCTGGATACAGTTTTGGATTGTGTACAACCCAGACGTCAGTGCGCAAAATGAAGGCCGACTTTGAAAAACCCTTAAGCATGGTTTGGGGGCTTTTTGTTTTCCCCAGATTGTTATTTTGATTGTCAGGAAACGAGGAGCAGAGGTTGGTTTGTCGGAGAAAAACACTTTTCACCCCAAGGACAATTCTTTTAGTATAAGTTTTTCTATAGGGAAATCTTACGTTTTGCACCTTAAACCTTAAATCATAATTATCAATGAAATGAAGAAATCAAAGGAATAATACTATCGTACTCTTCAGTCAATTAAGAAGACTTCATTTTTTTGACAAAAAAATCAGCTTTAAAAAGTGATATTTTTGAAAGGAAACTGTTGCGGATTTAAGACGCATATATAATATCATTGTATTGGACTTCATTATCTCAAGAAAGTTTTACCTCCAGCTGATAGATTCATTTACTTGTTATTAAAAATGGCACTGGTATTGATGCATTTCACTCATGAATACATTTGTACGTGTAACTTCTACATTGTCAAAATAAATGCAAGATTCATTTAAGTAAAAACGCATCTGCCTCTTCTAAATCCATGGCAAACATACCCAGTAGCTTAATTGGAAAGAGTTGATTTGTTTTTTTTTTAACAAACAAACAAATAAATAGATAAATAAATAAAAAATTTATATAGTGGTGAGGTTTGGGAGGAGGGATGGTTACTGCACTCCCTTTTCTATGATACTTTCTGTTCTGAGAAGATAGCCCCGTGTTATCTGTGTCAAGATAGCAGAGTTATGAAATAACTGAAGTGTTTGCAACCGGGCCAAGCAACGCTACACATAAACGACTTATTCGCAAACAACGCAAAAAACAACGGTTAAAATATGTAAGAAAATATTTTATTCAGTACTAAAATGTTCACAAAGCACATTTTACAGGTTAACGACACTGCAAGTTTTACATTTATGTTTTTATGTTATACAATGAACTAATTCACGCGCGAGAACTTAAAGATAATACAGAAAAATACGACTACTGTTAGTGATGTGTATTTTGTTATCGGGTCAAAGCTATAAGTGTAAGGTCATGGTATGTAATGATAAACCGCAGAGATGCACGCCCACTTGGATAGATAAACCAATATAGGCTTTCCAAGAAAGAACCAGCTATTGGACCCACGATCTTACCAAGCAATGCAGATAAGAATATAGTTGTTTGAATTATTCCCTTCATTGCTTTTCAAAAATCTTAACTGTCGCCAGACAGACGGGTTAACGGTACATGGGTTCCACATTCTTGTTTTCACCCCAAAGCTTTGATATTATATTTCACATCAGAACAAAGGGAGGAAAAAGTGCCGCTTTTCTGAAGCTAGTTAAGCTTCACGAAGAGTAAATAAAATAAATAAATAAATAAATAAATAAATAAATAAATAAATAAGTAAGTAAGTAATAATTACATATAGTGCAATCCTAAGCAAAAGGTTGTAGCCCTCTGTTAGAGCCCTGAGTTTCAGAGCTAACTAGGACACTGGAAACTCCCATCTTTCATCAGCTTGCATCTGTCTTTAGACACAGTTAAGTTTCCAGTGGCCCCAGAAACATGGGGGAGTTAACACCCACCCTATCCCCACCCTAGGAGAGAAGATATATATTTGGGTCCTACCCTCACCCCTGTAAAGTTTATTCCATTATGAAACCTGTTGATTTTGGCCGCGCGCCCCACGATAAGGTTTCAGTTGATCTTTTCTATGTACACAAACTCGTGTGTCCTACTTAGCTGTTATCAAAGAGAAAGTTTATCATTCATATTGTACAATATTGCAAGCAAGCATCTCGATAATATGCCGAACTTGATTTTCCCTGAGAAAAGATTATTTATCTCGAAGCGTCTTTAGTAAAGGCAAATAATCGGTTGCTTCCGACTTTTAAACATAACGTAATTTCATTATATAGGGTGTATAATGCCCTTGTAATATCAAAATGATTTATTTCAAAATTTGATTGAAAATATTTCAAAGAAGAATAAAGTCACATACAGTCTCTTAAGGTTGAAGATGGCACGGGCCGGTGTGCACGCTACAACTTTGGGCAGAATTGGACCGATCGAGTGGTGTGATGAGTGCTGCCGGAGTGTGTTAGTTGTGACCGGATGTGATGTTATATGTGGTGTCTCAGTAAGTGTGTTAGTTGTGACCGGAAGTGATGTATTATGAGCTGTGTAAGTGTGTAAGTTGTGACCGGATGTGATGTAGTATGTGGTGTCAGAGTGTGTTAGTTGCGACCTGACCTGCAAGACAACAAAAAATACTAAGCTGTGCAAAGGATATGTGTTCAGTCAAGAAGTTGTGAAGAGACAACTTCTTGGTTTGGTTAAGGGTTTGCTTCCAGGCGATGAACAGTCCATGACGCAGAGCTTAAGCACAACGGGCTGCACGGTTTCTTACGGGCTGTTTGAGAGCCAAGGACACCAAAAGGGGTTATAAGATGCGACCCCTTTCCCACTTTACATATTTTCAAAGAGAACTTTGCACAAGGAACGGTAGTTTGTTTTTATAATGATTACCAATAAAATGGGGTAATTTAAAGGATATAAACCTCACTGAACAGCTTTCCCAGTCCTTTTGCGCGATCCGGATTTAAATTAGCATTTTGTGTTAGAAAAAAGAGAAGAGGCCAAATGGTAAATTATGAAAGCAAAATATTTTTGATTTAGCCACAATGTAACTCACATTTTTGATTTAGCCACATTGTAACTCCCTACAAACGGTATGCATCCTGCATCCGTTCGGCATGGCTCTCAGAACAACCAACACTGAAATTGCTCCCCACATGGGGATAAGAAGCTGTGCGCACTGCAGAGGATTTAAAATAGCAACGACGGTTGATATTCAAATACATTCTGACAATGGGACAGCAGTATTCCAATGACATTACAAGGCATCATGTTTGAAAACGGAAGGTTACTAGTACCCTCTTTACCGTGGCCTCAGAAAGAACCCACCAACAGTCCCAGTCATGAGGGAGCCCTGCAAACATTACTAGTGCACAGAGCAGTCACATTTGAAACTTGTGGTCGAACGTTTTTGGACATTTTCATTACAACTCGCTGTTTTTTCTCACTTGGATGAACCTCCGCGTATATACTGGTAAATGCATGCATGGCGCTATATGTATCGCGGTATATATTAAATTTTTTCAGGCTGCAGAATTGATGTAAATACGTATACCACAGTAACAGGATATAATATTCACGTTATAGTTATACCAGGCGATATGGAGGAGAAATAGGTCTAATACCACTAGCTGATCCAGTGATTTACTTTGGGTGAAGGGGCAGGATGAGGGTAAAGCAAAATGTATGTCTGTGTGTGTGTGTGCGTGTGTGTGTGTGTGTTTGTGTCGCTAATTCGCTCGGCGAATATAAAACATCAGACAAGGACAATATGCCACCTGATAAATTATAGTCTGTCCATCTGAGGAATGAAATAACAAGAGGTACGTGCCCCCCTCCTCTCCTTCGCCGTCGGACCCTCCTTTGTCAGTTATTACAATGCAAAGCCAAGTTGAATATTTACCTCGGCCCTATTAGGCCCACCGTTAAGTACTATATAGCTAGTAGGTCACCGTAGTATGTGTAGCGATGCAACAAAAACACCTGCATATCCAAATGACAAGTTCATCATGGTGTTAATCCTGGTTCAGGTGAAACTACAGATTGGCAACTTGATAGTCTGGCTATTTGGTGGGAGAGTCTCTTTCAAGTAACTCTACAGCAGGGGACCAGCTTGTGAAAGGGAGTAAAAGCCCTGTTGCGCATTGTTCATGTTAAGCTGGACGGCCCAGTTAAGTATCACGATAGTAGACTGGTGAGTCTCTCGTTTCCTGCTACTTCTATATTACATTCATGATATAAACTGTGCTTAATATACTGCTAGTGTACTGGTACGGTATACGTATGTATGGCTTGGACAGCGTACTATATATTAATGCGGTTCAAAGATTTGAGAAAAAAGTATACAAATTGGGTATGAAAATATAGGTGCCTTGTATCATTTTACTTTTCTTTTTTTTTTATTCGAAGAATAATTGGTGTGGGTCTTGTGCCGTCTTTGATTGACATCAAGTTTCAACAGTGGCAATGGCCTACCGACGGTTTGAAGGTGTTGATCAAACCGCAAAATACGCAAGATATAGGCCTATGTGGCCGAGCCATGTTGCTGAACGAGTACTGAGTTACCTAGAGGAAAAGGTGGGTAATGCAACTTTATTATGTAAAATGTCAATTTTCTATTTGTCTACTGTCATATTTTCCTCTCTATTGTTTTGGTGTATACTGTTCTGTTCATTTGTAAATACTCGCACTATATATACATAGTGGGATGCATTCAAAGTCAAGCTGAATATTAATTTTACAGGCTCTGTCACATCCGGTGACTTCAAGCCAGGAGTAACATTGGCTTTAAATGTGATTTATCAACTATATTCGATGTCAAGAGTAGAAAATTCATTCTTATCTTGACAACAAAAGTGGATAATCCATTACGGCTAATTAGGAGGTACATTACTATCAAAGAAATACTTTTAAAGTTGCATATATTTTTTCAGCTCCCCGCTCCTCACGACCGAGCAGTGGACGTTGGTTGCGGTTCAGGACAGTTCACACAACTCCTGGCCCCTCACTTTAACCACGTGACCGGAATTGACGTCAGTGACAACCAGATTCATGAGGCGCGAAAAATGAATCCTTACGAAAACATACAATTTAAGTGAGACAAAGTTTTGATCATGTACACCATTAATGTATATATATAAGATCACATAATTTAGCCTAACTACAGGTATTGCCTTGCCAGCTCAGAAGTGCATTTGACAAAGCACTGGGAAGTTCTACAATCGAAGCTAGCCGCAATTAATACCAACTTAATTTTGATAAGGAGAATAAAAGCTACGTGTAATATGTTCCAGAACCAGCCCGGCTGAGAACCTGCCTGTAGATAGCCAATCTGTGGACATAGTGACTGGTGCTAACGCCGCCCACTGGTTTGACTTGGACAGATTTTTTGCTGAGGCTGACAGGGTTCTCAAACCGAACGGTTGTATTGCACTGGTGGCGTTTACAATTCATGACATCACGGTGGATGCGAATTCCAATGGTGCATTGCTTACACAGCTCGTGCGAGATGTGAGTATAAAGTGTAACCCCCCCCCCACACACACACACACACGATGATCCAGAATTCAGATTTATTTTTGTTTATATTTCCAGATATATGCTTACATTACACTATCGGTAAAAAGTACATATTCCAATAACATTTCAAATGTTGCGATTGCAACAAGGCCAAACATAGAAAATATGGATTATTCAACCAGCCATCATCGACATCCTTTAGATAAACTAAGAGGCAACTAAATATCACTTCATATTTGCTGGACATAAAGAAAATTGTACAGACGCCAAATGTTTTTGTACATTAAATCAAATAGTCTCTTCTCATATTTGTCAAGCAGTCTGTTGAACTGCCAGTCCTTTATGTACATTTGCAAACAACTCTAGTTATTAATTCCATTTTCGTTACTTAAAAATGTATAATTGCCAATGTTAATAAGTCATCAGTAATGACCAAAGTTATTTTACGAAATTTATTTTTTGCGTACATAGTCAGCGGCGTTTGTCTGTACATTTGCTGGTATTGCTGTTTATTTGTCTATATTATTTCACAGTGTAATAGGATTATATATCTTTTCATTTGAGTTCAAAAACACTTTGTTCGATGCAAATTGCTGGGCTAAACGGAATAGTGGGCAGTGGGAGACATTAAAAGACGTTTATGTGCCATTTGCAGACATCCTAAGGTAAAGTTCCTATACATCAGAATAATAATCCCTGCTCGTTTAAACACCAGGCTGTGAGTGTATTTGTAGTGTAAAAAATTGTTAAGGTACAAGTATGTACCGGAGAATGGGCATTTAACCTACAGGCATCGTTTCAGTATGTTTCTTTCATAATTAACTGTGGTCATTTTTTGGATTTGTTAATTCTGCGTTATACTGGTAAATATAAGCGAATGTTCAATAACGTTTATTGATTTTAAACAAGTTTCTTAGTACACTGTATGCTTGATTTTCGTTCACTAACCACAGGGACAATTCTCTTACCCTTGAGTATGAAACAACTCTGGCAGACTTCCTTGGATACCTGAGTACATGGAGTGGTTATGTGACATATGAAGAGAAATATCCAAGCGGCACTTTACTGAAAACTTTGGAGAACAAGTATGTACTTGTACTTGAGTATTAGCATAAGCCCTTTCAAAGTATTTTCCTGTTGAATGTACCGTGTTTATCTATTCCCTCATATTTTTTGTTTAGAATAATTAAGGGGCCATTCACATAACCCTATCGGTTTAAAGGACTGAAAGACCTGAAGTACGTATATACTTGGGTATAAAGTCGGGAAAACTTTGTGGTTCACGATGTTTTTCATGTTGCTTTGCTTTTCATGTTAACCTTGTTTAAAAGCTGTTAGTTCCTTTGTGCCTTAAAATTTCAAACTGGACATTTTGCAGCATGCTGAAAGCGCTAGATACTACCTCACCTGAGACAAAAGTGCACATCAAGCGCCCATTGTACATGTTACTGGCGCGAAAGCCAGGACCTTGACCTTGACCTTGACCCTTAGTAAATACATGTAGGGGAGAAAAGAAAGAAACTAACCAACGTTGTAAAAACTGCAAGCAAGATTATCGGACAGGATCTACCCAAGCTGGATGATATTTTTAAAGACAGAATGGAGAAAAGAACTGTCAACCCCATGGAAGACTCTTTTCATCCAGCATCATCAATATTTACGTTTTTACGAAGCAACTGTATACTCTTAACTATTAAAGGCAGTAAACGCCTTTTAAACAGCTTTTATCCAGGTGCAGTGACGCATTTTAATTTGATCTCAAAACCAAATTCTTAATGTATCTGTTGTCTTACTTTTACTCTGTTTATAATCAAACTTGCTCCAAAAGGAAGATGATTTAATTCCGATTTTTATTATTGGCTAAATAAACTCTTACCTTATCTTTGTATGCCAATTAAGTGTTGCAGTTCTTCTTGATACGAAGTGGAAGCTCCTGCACCAATGAAACAAGTCTCGCATACTGTGGAAAATATAAAGAAATAAACTTATCTTGGAAAGAGAAATATTATAACTGGTTCAAAGTTTATCTAATTTTTTTGTGGAGAATAGTTATTTGATTTTAATTGGAATAATGCTGTGGGGAAAAGACAATAAGTCTTCCGGTTACGTTATAAGTCTGAGTTCAATAGGTTTGGCTATTCCTGTACAACTGCTACTTATACTTATTCTAATGAAAAGTACAGTTTTCAAAGGACAAGTTTGCTGTCAAGCACGAATGTAGGGGGAATTTAAAAAAGGGCATTGTGATAAGTGCTGCCTGAGAATGCTACTTTGTAACCGAATGTGATGGATTATGTGCCGCCCGAGTGTGTTAGTTGTAACCAGATCATTTTGCCATGACCTACCTTTAAGTAGGTCACAGCAGTTTGTCTAGGGATGGAACAAAAACACCTCGATATTCATGTGATAAACAATCTATATGTCCAGGTGAAGTAGTATCGAAGGTGCAGATTACTCGTTCTTGGCAGCTTGGGTCTATTTCAAATCGAGTGGCACATTTAACTGGACCGGTCTACTTTTGGCAACTTGATAGTCTGGCTATTTGATAAGAGAGTCTCTTAACTGTACAGCAGGGGACCAGCTTGTTAAAGGGAGTAAAACCCATTTTGTGTACATTATATGTTTAGACCTGCCAAGGTGGACTGGTCCAGTTGAGTGTCATGTGAGAAACGAGGGACTTGACGTTTCCTTTTACTACTATATAACATTCATGGTATGTAACATTAACGGTGCCGCAAGGTATGTTTACCTCGCATGTATATGCATGGGCATTACCACCAGTATACTGTGCATGTATTATTGGGGTCAAAGACTTTAGAATAATTGTGGGGTTTGAATCTGGAAATATATCGTTGTTTTGTATCTTTTTTTTTACTTTTACTGTTTTTTTTTAAAGCTTTGATTGACATCAAGTTTCAGCAGTGGCAATGGCCTACCGACGGTTTGAAGGCGTTGATCACACCGCAAAATACGCGAGATATAGACCTATGTGGCCGAGCCATGTTGTTGAACGAGTACTGAGTTACTTAGAGGAAAAGGTGGGTGATGTAACTTAACTTTGAACAGTCATATTTTCCTTTCTCTTTATTTGTACAGACTCGAACGAAATAATGGAATGTATTCAAATGAAAGACTTTTAAGCCTTATTTAAAAGCAGAAACTTAGTATGCCTGATTCTCAGAGGTTCTGTCACATTCAGTGACTTCAAACAGGGAGTGAAAGTGACCCAAATTGTGCATAATTAACTGCATTCAGTTCAAGAGTCAGATATTCATTCCTGGCATGGAAACAAAAGCGGATAATCCATTACGGCAAATTAGCCAGTACTTGTGTATCAATGATACCAATTTTGAGAATGAAATACTTTCTAAGTTTCATCTTCTTTTCAGCTTCCCGCTCCTCACGACCGAGCAGTGGACGTGGGTTGTGGTTCAGGACAGTTCACACAACTCCTGGCCCCTCACTTTAACCACGTGACCGGAATTGACGTCAGTGACAACCAGATTCAAGAAGCGCGTAAAATGAATCAATGTAAAAACATACAGTATAGGTTTGTTTTAAATATTGTACTGCTTTTTTAATTACAAGATTAGCTACGCATAAAACATAATAACGTTCACTTGAAAATTTACTTTTTATACATTTTGGTCCTGTTGTCCTGGTTACATTAAATTAAACATTGTTTGTTTTTAAGGTTTTTATTTTCTTCCCGTTTTCTGCTTTCATGGGTAATTGAATCAAATCTAATTTTTTAATGCAAATAATATCCCATTACAAAAATATCGCCTTTCCCGAATTGACAGAGGAGTTTTTGTTGAACTTTGTAGTAAGCGATTTACAACTTATTGAAATGAAACTTATCAAGCAATAAGACCACGCCATCAATGTGTGATTCTCGCTATAAAGTCTAATGCCAGACCTCTGTCCTTGTCGAGATATTGCTTTCCGAACATCGGGTGTTACAAACTGAAAGACGTACATACACCACGCTGACTTTTCCCAAAGAGAGAATGAGTCGAAAACAATCTATCGATCTGCCATACATTTCAGTTCCGGTCCAGCTGAGACTCTGCCCCTAAATGACCACTCTGTTGACCTAGTGACCAGTGCAAGTGCTGCCCACTGGTTTGACTTGGACAAGTTCTACACAGAGGTGGACAGGGTTCTAAAGCCAAATGGGTGTGTAGCTCTACTAGGTTATCCAGTTCGCAGAACCGCAGTGGATGCCAACCCGAACGGTATTTTGCTAACACAGCTCTTGAGTGACGTGAGTTTATTAAGGTTATATTTACCCCGTTATAAAATTTATTTATATCCAAGAAAAAAAAAAAACATTTTGGAACGTTTGCGTCTTGAATATTGTCTAAGGCTTGGCTCCTGGAGATGTATGCTTGACTTATTGGTTTATTTGTTATCGTGCATGACGTGTTTTGTCTATGTTTAGAATGTATATCTATAAATTGCATGAATATTTATTAGCTTAATATTTACTGTTAGACAACCTACAAAAGGATTAATGCTTTCATTTATTGTTCCTATTTTACACACAAGCATTCTGTTTGACCTTCATTCTCCATTGAATACAACTTATATTTTATTCACTTTTTACTGTTTATAGTTAAGATTCCATTGTTAACGTCTTCCACTTAGTTTGACAAACTGCTGGTCGATGAAAATTGCTGGGAGAAAGGGAACTTTATCTCTCACGACGGATACAAAGACCTTCTCTTTCCTTACTCAGATTTTGTGAGGTGAGTCAGATTCATAACATGGGAAAATGTGGGCATATATATTCTCGTACTGTACTTGTACTTGGACAATAGCGTAACCATGAATAAGTGTTGACATTACATGTATAATAATTTCAATAACACACATTAGGCCTACCGAAATATGGACGAACTATATTTATTTCAAGTACCTGAAAACTAGACAAATTTGGCATTAAAAGTACACACGTGCAGGTTTTAAGTTAAATCCCCACAGGCCTAGGGAACTCACTGTGACTGTGTCCTTTGCTCTTTATCTCCAGGGACGACTGTCTGACTCTTGAGTACGAAGCAACACTAGACAATTTCATCGGTTATCTCCGCTCTTGGAGTGGCTACATCAAATATATGGAGAAGTACCCAGAAAGCGGTATACTAGAGACTTTACGGGATAGGTATGTCCTTGGTTATTCACATGCATTTATTTTGTTTTACCGATTCTTCTGCTTGATACACATTTTATATGCACATGTATCCACGTGGAAAAATGTGTTTAATTACCCAGGTTCTTATGAAATAAATAAAAAATTACATTTTCAATAAATCGTATTTTAAGTAGTTCATGATTATTTTGGAGTAAGTTTTTTATTTATTTATTTATTTATTTATTTATTTGGGGGGGGGTTACTAAAAGACTGTACGGCATTGACACGTTTGTATAATTGTATATTTTTATATCGGTTGCCTAGAAAATAATTGTGAAATCTTTCATACTCACGGCAGATGCTCTACTTTCAGCATGCTGAAAACTTTGAACATGACGTCATCGGAAGCAAAGCTAAATGTGAAGCATAACGTCTTCATTCTACTCGGACGAAAGCCAGGTCCTTGACCCTATAATTGTCTCTAGTATTTCTCAATTTTTACAAAAAGTACATTGTTTATACCTACCTAGTTATAAAGCGCTAAAGTATGTATACAATGTACCTGTAACTCTAAATTCTGTAATCCAGCATGAAAACCATTTTAAATCAGGGTAGAAATTAACAGTACCCTGGTATGTGATACCGATTGTTTTGGCTATAATGCCTTTGTCTGTAAACGTTGTTTCAGTAATGAAGAAGAAACAGATAAGAAAAGTATCCTAGTCACTATGATGTAGTTCTTAGTAGTTCTAAATAAAGTGGACTACCAATATTTATTAGAAGCCAGCTTTTCTTAACGAAATCTGTCACAACTGCGAAAAGCAGGCCGAATACAGAGCAAGCCTACAAACGTTTGATTACAACAACAAAATATAACTGTTTGTTTTATCACTGCACGCGTGGAATCCTATCTCTGTCGCCGCCCTCCCGAAACCTCCCGAACCCTTCCGAAACCTTCAGAATCCTAATGGAACCTTCATGAACCGTCACCATCCTGCACAAACTATTAGACGAATGTTATGACTTTTTTTGGTATATCTGTCGCATTTCGATTGAACAAGCGCAATTCTATCATGTCAACGTCTTCCCAACTTAAACACCTTTTCCTGATAGGTTTTGTTCATTATGTAATATTATGCTGACTTGCTTTAAGATGAAAAGAAATCGGCTGCTGTTAGAACCTCATCGTTAAAAAATCGTGCATCCCTTAGATAAAGTTTATTTACCCCTTTAGTCATTTATTTATCCTTTTATATATTTTTTGAAAGCAAAGAGCAACCTTTTTACACGCAGTGGAGCAAATCGTTTAATAAGAAAGAAAATCCTCAAATACGATAAGGTTCCTTTGTACCGCAACTTCGCCCAAGAGTCAAAATAAATGATCTTTGGTGCAAGTGGGAAATAATAAAATGACGATATGTCGAAAATAAGGAACATCCACTTCATTTCTGCCTCAATTTCTCTACATTGGCACACAAGAGACCTTCATCAACTTCGTATCTGCCATGTGGCATATCCTGTCGGCTTACATGTAAGACAGCTACCTAATTTGTAAATATGATGGCTATGAGAATGAGAGTTCACGTTAGTTGGAACATGGTTTGTGTCATTTGCTGCGATATTTAACCAGTAAAACTGATCGGAGGTTATTCCTACACGCACCACCGATTCCTGCGCAGACAAGTGACGTGAGAAGGCGTGAGTGACGTGTACAGTTGGTTTCATATACAGTGTACAGTGATTTTATTTTATACCATTTAATCGAGATGGCATTATAATTTTCATTTTATATTTGTATAAGTATAACAATAAATCATTATTATTATTATAATTTGTATATGACAAAACGGAAGCTACAGTACATGTGTAGACGAATCTAGGTAGATGAATGAATGTCTAGAATTTCCACAAATTTATGGTGTTGAACAAGCAGGAACGCTTACTTTGGTTATTTTAGGCCTACTGTCTCCGGCCACAAACCCGCCTGTGCCACTCCCCTGGGACCGGTCTATCAATGAGTCGAATCTGGGGAAATTAAACGATGCGATTAGGATAAATTAAATTACTGCAGCTTGGTCAGGACAGCATTTGTTTCAACCTACGGCAGTCAAACGCATAAAGGATTGTTATGATCATTCGGCGCTACAAGTGCACGCATTTCGATACGTCAACTTTCAACAAACCGTAACAAAAGTAATTCATTTCTCCCGTTTCTTCCGTCATCGCATCATTCACTGTCAGTGCAAATTGTTGACGTGTTCCAGGAATTGAAGCGTGGTTTGCAAAAGAAGGATGTATAATTGATGTTTTCCGCGCTGATTGCAACGGAAACGAAACGCGATATCATTACTGACAAAGCTGAAACCCCCAGTGTGATCATCAGTTATATTACCATTCTAATTGACTACAGTTGCAAAGTAAACGAATGCAATGAAATATTGCTGCACTTTGTTACGATAAGGGGTAAAAAGTACTCTGATGTTATCCAACTTGATGGAATAGCACATCACAATCAGGGTAGAGGTATTGTCCTATTTCTCTCTGTTTAAATTCATAAACTATGGGATAATCCGGTGTTACCCCATTCAGAATAATGGCCTAACTAGACCGAGGGTCAAATGTATGGCGATCCACTACAAAGCTTGCCGTCTAATCCGCTAATAGACACTAAATAGATATACCCGTGGGGAAGTATTCAAGTGGGTCGGCCATATTTGTCCCTCGGACTAGTTAGTCCCCTGTTCTGAATGGGGCCAGAGAGTCCCCCATGATAGAGAGTTCGCTTCCCATTCATTCTCACAGGTAAGCGTCGCCATAGATTTTGACCCACTTAGGTCAGGCTAACCCTAACCATTTAAACCAAATGGACGGCGGGCTTACTGTTACACAGACCCTCAGTTTCGTTACACCTGCATACAAAGAACCAATTTCGCATCTTTCAAAGGCTCCTTGCATGAAATACAGCACGTGGCCCTTTTGGGATTGTTCCAACTTTACAGGCTCATTCTCAATGAAACTATCGCTCTAAGTTGATCGAATCAACTCTGCGGGAGCTCTCGCTGAATGCAATCCGAGTAACAGAGTAAACAGGTTTCTTCTTGTTTCCAAAGCACTCGTATAATCACCAGTCTGTCTGTATTCTGCTCAACGCCAGTAGGAGGCGTGTTGGTCTGTTAATCTGATTGCAGAGATTGCAGAGATGGTGGAGGTGGATCGAATTACAAAGATCGATCGTCTCATTGGGAATGAGCCCTGTCATTTTCGTAACGTTTGTTTGCCAAGTATTTGCTCACAATGTAATATTTGATATATGAGTTAATATGAAGAGACAGGGGTAAAAGTCTGCACTGGTCCTGTGACCATTCCTTTTTTTTTTTCAGCGAAACCATTTAATCTCCTACAGTATTAGTGTCTGCGTAATCAATGTTTTTCACCAATAGCAAAGTAAGGCAGTAAGCAAGCGTATATTGTGTTAGTACACTGGCCTATATTAATCGTAGGTTTTTTACAACTTCACCAAATGGAGATTTGGTATAAAGCTCAAGCATAAAAATTTAGTGTGTATTCACCCGAAAATAATCAATATAGTGGCCCTCAAAACGAAAATAGAAGAACTGTTTCAAAGAGAGAAATAAATGGCTAATGTTTTAGACCAATAGGTTATGTATGTTAGTCTTCTTCGACGATTTTTTCAAGATGAAAGTTAACTACGGTTAAAAGCCGTAACGTTAAGATCATATTTCGACTAAATCATTTTGGGAATTGGAGCGTGAGTTCATCTCTAAGGATTTCATAATGACAATGTCCCATCCAATTACTACATTTTCCAATTAATCTTCATCGTTTTTCATGCTGCAGTGAATTTTTCCATTTGTTACGGCCATCGTAACAATGTGCAACACGGCGTAATCTAGAATCACATACAAACAACGATGATAGACTGCCTTTTTTTCATTATCTTTGTTCACCAGTCCGTATGACGGATTGTAATTTGCTTTATTTATAGTTATTCTGTATCTTTTATTGAACGACCGGCATTAGAGTGTGACACATTATATTGCGAACGCAAGGAAAAAAATGTGGCTGGGAAAAAATCGAAATAGTCGTGTATAGGGATGTGGTTGTTATAATTAATGACCATTGTTTGTACCAAAGATACCCATACAGAGAGGTTCTCGGTTGAAACCATTATGGTTGCTTGGGTGACAAAGATAAAGAAAAGATACTGCAATATTAAAGTGTAAATAACTGTGAGCTTAGTTGTTGTTTGATTAGCATTGTAACTTGGAGTAAATAACACAGCTAATGGAACTCTCTAATGGATTAAATAAGTGTATATATTAAAAGGTTAAATTGCCCAAAGATTACCCAAAAAGATAGAACCAAATGGTGGCAAACATGATACATACATATTTTTCTGATTTCGCACAAATGAAAGTATGATGTAAAATATATAATCAACACCGGTTTATGTAATTCCACCTCACAGAAACTAGTTTAATTTGCGTGAAGCCAATTAAGTGTCTGCACAGAAGTACCTATCAGGCTCTAGTTTCGATTGCACAGAGAACCGTAATACTTAATTCAAATCTTTGTCAATAATAATAATAATAATAATAATAATAATAATAATAATAAATAAATAAATAAATAAATAAATAAATGATAAGTGGCTTGTATCTGGACCTGGACCGATTGAAAGGCTGGCATGAACACACCTTTTGTTAACTGGTTAAATCCAACTCTCGTTCATGAAATCTGGTGACATGGTTGTAACACACATATACCGGACGAAATCTCCACTGACGTTGCCTAGCAGAGTGTGTTACGTACAGTACATTGTTTAGTTGACTCTGCTGTCATCGTAAAACGCGTACCTTCTTATTAATGAACACGATCATACATAATAATTCTTACGTGCTAGATTACTGAGTGTTCATAAAAGGCGTTTTTTTTTGCGTTCTGTAGTACATCGATCCTTTTAGTTTTCAGGTGTCTTTGTAGTATCATTACGGTAGTATACCTGGTCTGTACAGCACTTCTCTGTTACGTTGCTATGCCGTATGTAATTATATAACACAAGCACGATGAAGATTGGATTTATATCAAACGTTGGTACCTGCAAGCAAATGTGTACCTGTGTTTTAGATTAAAAGTACAATTATTCGTTATATTTTTTACGTGAAATAATAAAGTTTAGCATTTTATATTGTGCGTATTGTTCCTTGCATCTCTCGCCCCATGCACTGGGAATATTCCCGCATACATAATTAAGTTCGATAATTACTAACAAATCGCACACGGAAAACACAAATCACGACATTCATTCATTCATTATGAAACAAGTCCTCGCGTGTCACGCATATAGGATACCTTTGCCTTCGATATCACCCTTATAATTTTCTTTTTTTAGTTTGATAAAAATCTTAAAGCGGTACTATGGGGTTTACACTGCTTTTGAGAAACA